CCGGGCTTGGGCCCCCCTCAGGACGGCCACCGGGCCCTGAGGGGTGGTTGGTAGTTGGTCAGCCGGGTGTCGGTAATGCCCGTTTTCACACCCTCAGGGTGTTTATCTCCCGGGAGGAAGCGTGTAGGTAAATGTCGTTGCCGAGGGAAGGCTGCGGTGTCTTAGTCCTAATCCCTGGCTCGGGCTGCTGAGAAATCCCACAAAAAATATCAAAAAATCACCACAGGTTTCCTCGGTTTTGTGCCTTATTCGGTAGAATAAAGCCTGGCAATTTCGCTGCTTCTCCCATCCGGCCGAAGTTTGGAAGAAGGGGGTGGGTTTTGTTGGAGGCTTTGCTTGGACTCCCTTTGGCGTTGCCGAATAAAATGATAATTGGTAAGAAATGCAGTGCTTAAAACTGAAGGAAGCTTTCGTATAGAGAGAGGAGGCAGAATCTAGCACCTCGGGCTTATTTTTGCAAAATGGATGGGGTTGGATCTAAGTGACGCTTGCAAACGTAGTACAATGCAAATAAAACTTTTAGAGAAAACGGAGAGGAACCTGTCAGCCCCCTTTCTCATTTGAGCTATGGGGGAGTTTTGCTGCTGGAAGCTGCTAAGACCTTGTCGTGCCATCGTTTGCAGTTGTTCTTTGATCCTCTGGTTTTACTGGTTCAGAGATAGACTGGTCTTACCGTGCTGATCTCATTCTCAGAGTGGAAAAATAAAGAGAAAATACTTTCTGGGTTCCCTCTGAGACAGATCTGAGTCCTGTTCTGATTGCTCCAAGGAGGCATTTGAGATGTGAGAGCTTATATTTTCAGGGTAACCAGATGCATCAATAAGCGTGGAATTGCAAGATTTAAAATTATATTACTGTTGAAAAGGATGACCCCCTGCACCTTTTTTCCAGCCCTCTGCTCGTCAGTTTCCGTTGCCTCTTGTGGGTAGGTGTAAGCGGTTGTGTGGTTGGCTGGATTCATCTGCCAATCTGGGCAGCAATTAGCACCGTACAGAAAGTGAAATGAGGGAGCTGGCTGTGCGTCTCTTCTAATGCTGGTAGTGTCTGTAGCAGGGAACGGCAGGTCCGCCCAGTCAGGCAGTGTCATGCATCAAAATCAGTTAAGCTGCTTGTGAAAGTGTTCCCTGAGGCTGCACTTCCCTGGACGGCTAGGTGAGCTGGCTGAGGGTTTGTGGTTTGGGTTTTGTTTTGGTGGGGTTTCTGGTTGGTTTGTTTCTGGTTGGTTTGTTTCTGGTTAGTTTTGGTATTTCTTTTTAGATGAAAACTGTGTAATACTTTCTGTCTCCTTATTTCATGATGTGGCTAATATTCTCAGCCTTCCCCTCCACTCTTTTACTGTAGAAATATTTTAAATTTTGCTTTCTAAAAAAAAAAAAATTTACTTTTGGGGGATGACCAAACCAATACATGTGGAGGGTTACAAATGTAGAAGTGGAGGGTTTTTAGAAATATAACTGTGCTGATTATCAGCAGTAACTCCCCTGGTATCACTGCTAAAAGAGATGTTCACTTGCAGGGAACAGAAGCAGTTGTTGCTAGATGTAGAGATGGGAGTATTAGCAGTAAATAAAGAAATCATGTCTAGGCACAAAAAACAGGTGGATAAAAAATTGAAACATGTAGTAAACAAAATTTGCTCTCAGTTGCTCAGTTTTGGTCTGAACTGTATTTTAGTAGCTGTTTCTGACATCAGAAAGGTCTCTGTCCAAAAAGATGATAAAACATGAGACTTAGCAAAACTTTATTTACATCAGAGGCATGCAAATGATTTGTTTTGGATGTAAACTGTTTGATTAGCTTCACTAAGACTAAGAACAATCTGCCTGAAAAAAATTAGTCTTTTGTCTATTTTATTATTCTAAAGTCTACGTTAGTACAGCAGCTTTTATGCAGATATATAGTGGAGAATAAGTATTTTTCTTTGTAGTGTCCAAGAGTTTTATATAAGCCTTTGAGACATAGTTTAATGGCTTAATTGCAGTGTTAAAATCCTACTTCTTGAAAAAGAGACGAATTCACAGAACTCGGTGGGGTTTAGTTTTAGATGATTTTTGGGCTGTGACTCCGGCCCCTGTCTTGAGCCTGTTCTGCTCTGTGCACATCATATTATTTAGAACTTCTTTCACAGAAACCTTTTGTCCTAGGTCCCTTATTAAAAATATTGACGCTGAATCTAACTGCTCTCCTTGTAGAATTGATTTTTACAACTTCTCATAAAGAAGAGAAATTGCCCTGTGTTAGAAAAGGCAGTGTAAGATTTAATAAGTTACTATATCAAATACTATAGGTGGTTCTCAGCAGCGTGTTGTGTCTCAGTGCTTATGTTAAATATTGACTTGCTGTATAGGACTTTGGTCAGGAGAAAGGTAGCGTGGCAAAGATAATGACAACTTAAAACTGCCACCTGAAAAACTGGCTGTGCACAGAAGCAGGTAACGATCGCAGGGTGATGCTGGTAACTGATTAAACGTGGTGTTAATTCCTCTGTCTCTTTCTTGCCTCTGTGGAAGATAAAAATTAATTAAAATACCATTTAAAGAAAAGTGTGAAATAAAGATGTAAAAAAATGTTAGTGTTTTCTTGTGGCATAGTCTTTAACTACATAAGCATAAACCTTCCTGTAGTACACTCCCACTCAGTGTTGGTGGTCTCTGCAGCGCGGTGTGAGGAGGTAATTAATTAAGCTTGTACCTGGGGGTGGTGACAGTCCTTCTCTGTCTCTGGTGACAGTCCTTCTCTGTCTCTCTGTAGACTGTGAAATGACAAGAATTTGGGGTCTCATCATTGGTGCCAAATCTGGTGATTCTTTCTAATCTTGCTCTTATTTATACTTAAACATACCTTTAGCTGGAAGAAAAAAGGCTGAGAGAGTTGGGCTTGTTCAGCCTGGAGAAGAGAAGGCTCCAGGGAGACCTTAGAGCAGCCTTCCAGTACCTGAAGGAGCTACAGGAGAGCTGGGGAGGGACTCTTGATCAGGGAATGTAGTGATAGGACAGGGGGTAATGGTTTTAAACTGAAAGAGGGGAGATTTAGATTGGATACGAGAAAGAAATTCTTTGGTGTGAGGGTGGTGAGACACTGAAACCAGGTTGCCCAGAGAAGCTGTGGCTGCCCCATCCCTGGAGGGGTTCAAGGCCAGGCTGGACGGGGCTTGGAGCAACCTGGTCTGGTGGGAGGTGTCCCTGCCCAGGGCAGGGGGCTGGAATTGGATGATCTTTAAGGTCCCTTCCAACTCTAACCGTTCTGTGATTCTATAAGATTCTGTAGGCCAGGTGCCAGGAGGTCTCACCTCTGGGACCGTTCCTCCCAGGACAGAAGGCTCTTTGTGTTTTATATACACACGATTGATTGAAAATAAACATCTCTCCTTCTTGCAAAGATTCACTTTCAAATAGCACTACACCTGACTGGTTAGGTGTTTTTGGCTGGCTTCATGTCTCTTCCCTTGCTGTCGTGGACTTTCTTACAAAGGCCTAAAATCTGGTTGCTGAACTTTGTTGAAGATAGAGGAATGCCTTTGGAACTGACTAGATACATTTTGTTCCTTGGTGATGTGGCCTGTCTCATTCTTGAATACTTTGCTGTGGGGAGCTCAGCATGCAACACAGAGATTAAACACATATTAAAGAAAACTCATTTTTTCTTGAGGTAAGAGGCTTTGTAGGTGGGAGGCATCTAAGACTTTGTGGGGAATAGGAGTTTCAAGCTAATTAGGAGGTTGTTAGCAAAAAAACCCCACCAAAACCAGCCAGTCATCTAAGGTTCGTTAGGTGAAGGAATTTCTGCATTCTTTAATAGTGAGTTATTTTGAGCTGTTGATAACGTGGGTGGGGGAATAAGTTATTTTGTATCTTTGGTAAGTCTAGTTTACTGTCAGAATCTAGTTCTAGGAAGATTTTTACTGGAAGAAGTTTGAATATGTGGTGTGTCAACTTGGTTTGCTATAAACGAAGGTTTTGATGGAAGAAACATTTTGGTTTAGATATAGGATTGGGTTGATAAGTCCTGCCTTTTTATTTACTCATTTTGAAACCATTTCCTTAACTGCGATGGGCAGGAATTGCTCCTTTCTCCTTCTCTGCATATTCCGGAATGTGCATTTATTGAGTTCTCTGTGAAGAGCCTGGGGAGTAAAAGTTTGTTCAGGTTTTTAGCATTCCTATCAAATTTTTCCACTTTGTGGATGTATTGTTGTGGTGTGACTCATTTTCAGGTGTGTTTCAAAGATGTGTGGCTGTTTGGTGTGACTGAGGTCAATTTAGGCTGAACTCCAGATGGTGGTCAGAGGATTACTTCAAGAGCTAATTACTGGGATTCTTTGTGTAAGTCTGAATAGTTACATCACAAAGATTATTCTTTAATGATTCATCAGGCAATTTAGTGAGGGGAAAAAAAAAAACCCAAACCTTTTTAACTTTTCAATGAAGCGAGTTTTTCCCCTTAGCCCGTCTGGCTCACATTGAGCTGTACCCCGGCACTCGCAGGCTATTTTAAAGGCTATTCATCTCCTGACTCTGAAAATGAGATCTATGATGCCTTTGAAGTCTGGAGATCTCTTTTTCTCTGCATGTGTGGCCTACATTTCTCCTTGCATCCATCTCCTGGGTGAGGGTACTGCTGTGGTGGGAGCTGTGAACAAAGACCTCTGCCGTGGTTTATTCAGGCGTAGGCTCTGTCGGGTTGGCATGTGCTATTTTTGGAGCTCCCTGGGGGAGAAGGTGCTCAGCCTGTCTAACCTCAGCACGCAGCAGAGAGGAGTGGAGCACTGTCAGCTTTGGTGGCACTCTGCTGGCTCAGCACTCGGTGGCCATCCTGGCAGAGAGGTTTCTTCTCTTCTGCAAAGGGGTGTTAGCAGGGTCATCCAGCGGCAAGTTGGTGAGAAAACATTCATTTTACTCTGTTGGTTTGTTATTGTTTCCAGGAAACACCTTGTCCACCTTTTGGAGACTTGGGAGCCATGGCTGCTCCTGTCTTAGCTCAAGAGATTTGCCCTACGACTCATAGATAAAGGTCAGTGTCCCGGAGAACCACAGCTCTGGATCACTGTGCCAGCCTGTCCTGTCAGGTTGTATTCTCACTCTCTCACTTGGTGCCTGGTGCTGTGGCCACTACAGTTTTGGCCTTTGGTCTGTGGCAGGACAGTTTAGTGCTGAAGGGGATGAAGTTTCCTCTCAGTTATATCCCTCCCTTCTTGACTACTTGGGTATTCTCATTTTACTCTGTTGGTTTGTTATTGTTTCCAGGAAACACCTTGTCCACCTTTTGGAGACTTGGGAGCCATGGCTGCTCCTGTCTTAGCTCAAGAGATTTGCCCTACGACTCATAGATAAAGGTCAGTGTCCCGGAGAACCACAGCTCTGGATCACTGTGCCAGCCTGTCCTGTCAGGTTGTATTCTCACTCTCTCACTTGGTGCCTGGTGCTGTGGCCACTACAGTTTTGGCCTTTGGTCTGTGGCAGGACAGTTTAGTGCTGAAGGGGATGAAGTTTCCTCTCAGTTATATCCCTCCCTATTTCTTGACTACTTGGGTATCCCTTGAAGAGTGCCAGAGTGCCATTGGCTTTCTTGGCCACCTGGGCACACTGAAGAGCGTTTTCCCCCTGGTGCTGTGTACCCAGCGCTGCTGCTGGCCTCAGATCAGCCAAGCACATGGATGTTGGTGGAGGGGGAGAAAAGAGAGTGCTGGGCTCTCATGCTGGGGGTGCCGTGGAGCTCAGCAGGTAGCTGATTGATTTCTGACTTTTCCTTAACATAATTTGTTTTCTACCTGTTTTCCTTACAACAACCTGAATGCAGGGTTCGCAGTGTTGCTCGGCGGCATTAAGATACCCCGTTGGGAAGGAGAATGTTTGAAAGGCACTTTAGTCATAGGATTGCTGGGAGGACTTCTCTCTCTTCCTATCTTCTGATGTGAAGGTTAGCATGGCTGACACGGAGTACTTTGACTTTCCTGGTTCACTTACAAGTAGAGTGAGTGCTCTTTCAATGGGTTATATACATTCATTCCTCAAGGCCCAATGTGCTGGAGTTTTGAGGTACCTGCCTGCCTGTGACGGGAGGAGATACTGGTGCTGGTTAACTGGTTTGATGTGCTCTCATGGTGAGTGTGGTCAAGTGCAGGAGCTCAGGAAGACTGCCAGCTAGGCAGTCCACTGAGATATCTGTATAGAAGCCTTCTAGCTCTTGGAGCCATAGGGAGTGTTTGCAGAGTCATTTTCCCCCCGTGTCTAAAGCCAGAATAATGTACAAATTGCAACAAAAAGAGGAGTCATGATGTGCCAAAGAGACGCAAGAATTTCTACAGGTTTTCCTTTGCTTTGTCAGGGAACAGTTGGTCTTGGAAGCAGTGCCTTGGGCTTGCTGGTCAGCTGTCTGCTTTCCTGTGGTTGGGAACACACTGAAGCAGCAAAGATCATTCCCCAGCTTCTGAGCCTGCGATTTGGTCAGTGTCCTCTTCAGAAACTGGATTGCCTTGAAGTCGATCCCTTTGCCTTCATTTCCAACAGGAACTGACAATTCTGTTTTGAAACATTCAAAACTAACCCCAGCCTTCCTGCTTCAAGGAGTGGGAGTTTATTGTTTGTCTGACCCCAAATTGGCTGCCACTCAAGGTTCTGCAACACGTGATGCCTCGTTGCATCAGATGAAGGCTGGATGGGTAATTTTGATGATTCCTTCCTGGCCGAGGCAGCCTGGAACCTTCTGCCTGTTTTGTGGGAGGCCCTTAGGATTGCAGGACTGAAAGAAAACCGTAACTTCAGATTCATGTTGCATTGCACAGGCTGGGTGCTGGGTAGCTCTTGACATTTACAACAGCTCACCCTTCTCCAGTACGAGGCTGTCAGCAGTACCTGGAAAGATGGTAGGAAAGAACCTGCTCTGCCAAATGGCCAGTTTCCCCTCCTTGTGCTCAATGAGTTCAGTGTTTTCTTTGAAGGACACGGTACCTCATACAGGGTGATTTCTCTTCTTCCCTGCTAACTCATGTTTTTTCCAGGTTGCTCCCTAAGATTTCATTTCAGTCTTTTTTCTGAAACCTCACATCTCCATGGCAGAGGTCCTCTATACCACACTTGTGTGTTGAGAGACTTTTTTTGTTCCATAATTAGAGGACTGAATCTTCCAGATGTTCTTTGAAGCTACTACTGAGAGAGTGAGGCTATTGCCAGAGTCACTTGGAGGTGCATTAGGGACTCTTAGGAGCTTGTTTATGCTCTGTGTGATGAGAGAGATTCCTTGTCCTCCTTTCCCCCTCCAGGCTCGCTCGGATTATGCTGATAGTATTAGTGAAGAACACTTCCAAGTATGATGTCACTCTACAGCAAAAACCTGGAGGTTTGTTGAGATACTCATGGAGCACTGGGACTTTGCAGAGTCATCCAGGAATGAAATTGCATTTTGTGGAGCAAAATGTACAGAGATTTCCATTTGCATGAAGGACTCTCTTTTTAGACAGCTCCAAATGAGTAGCTCCAAGCAGAGCTCTGCACACACATTGTATCTGGAGTTACAGAAGAGTTGCTTTTAAGTGGCTGGTGTTCTTTAATCTATACTGTTTATATGATATTCTGGAGCACTGGGACTTTGCAGAGTCATCCAGGAATGAAATTGCATTTTGTGGAGCAAAATGTACAGAGATTGCCGTTTGCGTGAAGGACTCTGTTTTTAGACAGCTCCAAGCAGAGCTCTGCACACACATTGTATCTGGAGTTACAGAAGAGTTGCTTTTAAGTGGCTGGTGTTCTTTGATCTATATTGTTTATATGATATCCTACACTTTATCTCTTTGTAGTTCTTTCAAACTCCAGCAGCAAGTTGACAAGAGCTGGGAATTTGGGGTATATGCAAACCCATGAGCCTGCAAAGAGGTGTGGGTCTTGCCCTGCAGATATGGCCAAAAGAGGGGGAAAAAAAAATCTTGTGGAGACTATACATCACAAGCAGTTGAGTGTGAAAGTGAAGATGGATAATATATACTGAGCTGTAATTATTGGCAAGTAGCTGTGTTTTCCTGCACTTCCTGGCTAGTGGGAACCTTGAGAGTGACCTGAGTAACCTAAAAGAGATGGAGGGTTTTACTGCCTTGAGTAGCATCAGGGACACTTCCAAAAGGACAGAATATTGATAAGCAATGACTGCAGGACATGCTGTGTTGAAATTTTATCTGCCTAAGTAGCTGCTAGTCCAATTCCATTAATGTTTGCATATTTAATAAACTTTTAATGTTGAATTTTAATGAGTTGGCAGTTATCTCTGAGCACCCAGCAGCGGCAGTCACAGAGTCTAGGTGGCTCTGAAATGTGGATTTCTCACACTTAGAAGGCATATGGCCTTTCCTTGGGCGGTCAGCCCTTGACAGGCTATAGCCTGCTTTGATTCAGTTTGTGCTGATGGACATCACCAATGAATTTCTTAATTTGGATGGAGCCCTAGGGTTAAGTTTTCAGGGGAGGAATCTTTATGAAAAGCTGGCTATAAGAGAACATGACCTTGGTTAATCTTGCAACACACCATTTATCTACTTGGGATGATTCTTGCTAGTGATCTAATTATTTTGGCTGCAAGATGGGCCTCCTAGGGAATTTGTTTCTAATGTGGCATTTGCTCATTTACAATCCCAGGGCTTTTGCTTTGCCTTTTCAGCCTTTATTTTCCAAACATATATCAAACTCCTCAGAACCCGAGCAGGCTAAGAAGCACCCTGGTTGTGCTGCACAGCTGGAACCAAGTGCCTCTAATGAGGTTAAGGAAGCTAATCTATTATTGAGGGGACCTTGCCAAAGTTCAGCAGAGAAGTTCAGTGCTTTTGAGATAAACCAAAGTGTAGTAAATATATGTCAGTATGTAAAATGTAGCAGACAAGGTGAGAAGGGACTTTGGATAACAGAGTGTGATTCTCAGTTCTGGCATTGGTATGACTTTAAATAAGTCACTTCCCCATTCCCAATCTTTAGGATAAATTCCCAATATGCTACTGTCATGGAGATAGTAAAGCTGTGAAGGTCGCAGGGGTAAGAAAGAAGCCCTTACAGCCTTCTTGGAGATAAGGCAACATAGTAATTCAGTGAGTGGAGGCCTCGGGTGACCTTTTCAGCGTGCTCAGTAAAAGGTGGGGAAACATGTAATGCTGGTGTAACGTAGTTTCCTTATCTGAGAGCTGTATTTTAAATTGAAGTTCTTTTTATATCTCCAGAGTACCAGTTTCTGAGAGGAAGAGCAAAGAGACTTAACGACAAAAACTGATGGACCATTACATCTTCCAAAATGAGCCTATTCACGCTTTTCTACTGGAAACTAACATGTCTTGAAGGTGAGTAGATTTGATATATGACAGATGGGCTGCCCTAATGTCTTGGGCGTTGACCGTCAGTCTTCCCAAAGATAGATCTGTCCTCATTTCAGCTTAGTGTGCAGCTGCCTCTCTGGGCTTCCTATGCATGCTATGGAAACATTGGGAGAAATAGGTAGAAGTAGGTAATGTTTTCCACAAACCCAATTAATTGTCAGTAATTTAGAAGCTCTTGAAAAAGCTGGAGTGCTTCATGAAAGAGGTGAAGCATTGGGAAAGTGGATATTTTTTTGGTGAGTGGAGGAAACGCAGGTGTTTTATTTGCAGGATGAGAAAGTGAAGTTTGTAAGGCAAACTTTTGTTTAGTTTGGTGAATGTATTAGATTAGGTAAGGCAATTTCAAGTTCTGTTCCAGTCGTACCTCAAATGATATTATCAGCGTTCAGAGCAGCTGAAGAGGACTGCTTGCTATCAAAGATGGTAAATTAATTTCCCCAAAGTAAGAACATAGTGCTTGAATGAAATTAAATCAAAATTATATTTTGTAGAGTTTGTGGTATCTTTTATGTTATTTTTGTACTCAGCCCCTTAGGGCTGTAGGCAGTGACCGTACAATACTGTTTTAAAATCCTTTAATAACAGAAATCAAAATGGAAAATGTCACATAAACTCAACCTTGCACTCAACATTGAAATAAAACTAGGATTTCTGAGACAAATAGTTAAGGTTTAAAATATCTGGGTTTAGACTTTACTGTCACTTTAATAAATAACATATAAAAGGAAGCCATGAGCCTACGTAAGCCTAATTAATGCTTAGTAGCATTAGTTCTTATTTTAATCAAGCTAATAAATTTGCTTTTCTGGTGGTTACTTTATTGATAAATAATTTTTCTATTTTTTGGTATGAACAACCTAGCACCTATGAACACCAAGCTAATAGTGGAGTGTAAGTGGTGAAAAATAGGTCTAGGTGGCTGTCAATTGTGGTTCTGTCTGCACAGAAATTGTTCCACCATGTCCAGTGTTGGAATCTCAGGCTTCTTGCACACAAATGCTTTTCAGTGTGAGGAAAAAAGGCTTGGTAGAAATTGAGCTTACACTGAACTCGGTTTTCCCATGGCTTTTTTTGCAGATTTAAAGCTGTGTCTCATTATCCACCTGAGTTTCTTAAATATTTGCATATGTGGTGGTGCTGATGAGCCTCTAACAGAGATAGGAGGGGATACAGTGTCAGGGGGCCTTACTGCTTGAGGAGCAAAAGACTTGTAACTGGAAATGCTGTTCTCCTCCATTTGTGCTGTTTGGTATAATCTGCATGATTTTGCATAAAAGGATGGGAAAAGGAGGGAAGGATATTTTAAGTGCAGCCTCTGAATCCTGCACAAATAGCTATCTGTATAATAATCTCCAATACTAAAATGTTCTTGTGATGTCTGAATGATTGCAGAAGTCTGTAGTTATACCACAAGCTGTTCATGTGTGGATGAAGGATATTTTGAAGGTAAAGATGTTATCCGTAAAAGTTACCTTTTACTGGAAGAAGCTTGAAAACTAGGGAATTTCACTCGGAAATATTTAATCTGATGAAGTCTTTATTTTTCTGTTGATATGGATGAACAGAAATACCTCATCTTTCTTTTGCTCTCTCCTTTTTCTTCTGCTTTTGCATCTTGTGAAAAGTGCAGCTTTAATCTGTGGAGAAAGATTGCACAACAGGGAGAGTGAAAAGAAGGTATTTTGCCTCTGTGAGGCTTCTTTGTTCTCTAAGGTCAGGGAGAGCTGAGCTCCCAGTGATTTCATAAGCTCTCGTGTTACCTGTTCATTTACTGGTCAGTGAGTCTAAATGGATGGAATCTTCCTCAGTATGAGTCAGTAAGTAAATATCAGGCAGTGTTGGTATTCCTGATACTGTCTGCTCTGAGTACTTGCTTATTGTTGATGTGCTCATTTCTTAGCTCCTGTCCCAACCCCAGCAGATTTTGTCAGTGCAGGTTCTTCTCCCGGTGTGCGGTTGTAGAGAGAGACCTCCACTGGAGCCAGTAGCCTTGTTAGAGGGTGTGTTTTCAACGGTAGCTGGCAAATATTTGGAGATGTTTCCAGTAAAACAGTTGGTACTGATTCTTGGCTCCAAGCCTCCTCTTGATCAGAGATGGTTTGCCAGATGGCCTGCAAGCTGGAGCTGGTGCCTGCTCTGATCACATCCCTCCTGCCGGACAGAGGGCACCGGAGGAAGCGCATCTCTGGCCTCCCCTGGGAGCAGCGGAGCACACGGCCTCCAGAGCTGTTACAGGAGCAGGAGGTGTCTGCAGGAGGGCCCCTCACCACAAGAAGGACATTGAGGTGCTGGAGCGTGTCCAGAGGAGAGCCACCAAGCTGGGGAGGGGCCTGGAGAACAAGTCACACGAGGAGAGGCTGAGGGAACTGGGAATGTTTAGTTTGGAGAAGAGGAGGCCGAGGGGAGACCTCATTGCCCTCTACAACTCCCTGAAAGGAGGGTGTAGAGAGGCAGGTGTTGGCCTCTTCTCCCAAAGGACGAACGACAAGACCAGAGGAAATGGTCTGAAGTTGGGGCAGGGGAGATTTAGATTAGATATTAGAAAGAACT